GTCCGCTCCAAAAATACACAGTCAGCTTACGAATGCAACTGTTTATCAATCTCGCCAAAAGCACTTGCCGCCCCCATTGTCAGCTTTCTCAGTCAGTTGTGCCGCCGCCCGCATACAACCTTCATTTACCGGACATCTCGAATTCCCCGGTCCATTCCACTACCTCCGGTGATTTCTTGGCCGCTTCGTGGGTACGCGGGGAAGCACCGCAGAATGCATGACGTCTCGTCCGCTGCCAACAGTCCGCCAAGCAGCGCCGTTTCGCTCGGCGGTCTTCCATGTGCATCCGGATTCGATAGCCGAGAGAATCAACAAGGAATACGAGCCCGCCCTGCGCATGCAGCCGATCTCCAAGACAGATAATCTGCTCTTTGATATCTTGGGGTCGGACAAGCAACACACATTTGAGAATGAGAAGACATTGACACCTATGGACTTGGCTTATTGGCGCCGACGCATCACAAGGCTTTCGGCCCGCGCTGCTCGAGACGTTGGCGGCGAGCCACGCCAGGCACCGCCGTCTCGAACAGTCTGGCCGAGACCGCGTCGCCAGCCACTCTGAATCCTCCCTCAGCTGGCTGCCACTGCAGCCATCTGTCTTCAGCAACACTACGAGCCACAGGTTGGTTGGTTGGGTGGCCAAGCCGTGGCTTGGCTGAAGGTTTGACCAAGACGCTTGGCACTGGGTCATACAAATTTTGGGACGAGGGGACCAACCTCCGCACTGGCACGGAGAACGGGACGTGCAAGAGTTCAATTCGAACCACCGTGTCCAGTGAATGACGCTGACAATGTTCCTATTTCGCCCACTGACCTCTGGTTGCATCGGCCGAAGACCCGACGCTCCTACCGGAGCTGTGGGGCCGGTGCTATGCGGGGTCTGCCGGCGACATCTCCACGTGTTCCGCATCATTGGCCAGACCTTTCACGGCAACCTTTCTTGAAGCCCGCATGGATATGCTTTCATCAGTTCTACTTGTAGCTTTTCGTTTCTTGTGCATGCTGCTCAGTGGTCTCCCGCAGATGTGTTTGACGTGGGGCCAAGCTGATGTCGGGAGCCAAAATACACGTCCAAGACTTGGTTATCATGTGGATGATGGCCACTCAATTGCAAACCGAGTTGAGAACATCATCTGTGTTCACATGGGATTGTACAATGACAGAACGCCTGTGTACGCACTTGGCCCATCAAATGCGGAAGGTGCAGAGTCAAGCCTGCCCCTCTTCACAGACGACGACATGATCCCGTGAAGCGGTGCAAATATGTCCCCCGGCCCTCGCATATAAATATGAATATTGCATCAACGTAGCATCAACGGGAACAATTTACTTCAATTCCAGAACCTGCAGTTAAGACACCTAATTCAGTAGATCAGCCAAAGCTGAGATACCACTTCAAACCCGCAGCCGATGACATCCAGTCGCCCGACTTCCCGTTCAATAAATGTCACTATATTCCATCGTCCGTTATCTGTCTTGCAGTATTGGTATAGAATAGTCGTACGTCGACAGGGAAATGTGATGTTTGATACATGATCTGATGTTCTCTCCGTGTGCTTTTGGCGTCATGCTGCTTAAGGATTGCCGCGGAATCTGGCGAGCAGTAGTCCTCAAGCGCAAACCTGTACGTCAACGCGATTGGACCTCCTGTATTGCTTCCCTCGAGTCAGATCGTGAGGCCAGGAGGCGTCAATTTATAGCCTCGGGCCCTGCCACCGGACCGTGAGGTCGTTTTCGGTCGCTGAGCGTGACTATAAAAGCGGAAAGTATGAACACCAGCTCGAGTCGCAAGGAATACAGACAATCATGTCGGTGTGTTCTACGTGGATCAGTCTCCCACAGGATGTCACGATCTCTCAGTCGAATAGGCATTTAAATTGACGGCTCTCTGTCTTAACATACGCGCTGGAAGACTCTGCTAATTCAAATTCTGTCGTCCGGTGCGGTCGGTAGGATATTCACGACGAATACTTCAGCTGGAGCTCCAGCCCACAAAGTCGACACGCCGCCCATCATGACCTTCCCGATAGATGACATGGTTTCTCTACGAAGAGAAGCACTCTGCCGAACGCATTTGTCTCGACCCGTCCCTTTGGGCCGGCGATTATTTTGGCTTGGAGAGGTTTGAAGCCTTGAGGACCGGTGGTTGCGGGTCTTTCATATTCAGTCTGAACCCAAACTTCGCGTGCGTGTTGTGACTTGGAGAATCGCTCGGAGTCGCATCATGGTGATTATGGTGAACCCAAGGCCGGTACTGGGAAGGTTGATGACAACATCACTGCCCCCGGTGCATGGGGAAGAGTAAGCGAGTTGGCCTATTTAAGCTACAGGCTCTGCACTCATGTTTTTGACGATACAATTTGATTGGCGCCAAAACCGAGTTCGCATTAGAGTGGGAACAGAAAAGGCCGGTCTAGAGACGGTCATGCCTCCTTCCAAGCCAGAAATAGCGTGATTGTGTGCTTTTCTGCGCTTCGATGTCGTTCTTGGTTTATACATAGTTTGGAATACACATGGCATAGCACGACAAAAACTTGGAAGAATCATGATATTCGCCATATCCGTCTTCCGCATGTGCTGCTAACTATTCTTCAGCCGTCATAGACCTACGCCATTGACCACTTGATGACCAAGGCTGCAATGGTGAAGCATATTAGTGCGCTTTGCATCGCGAAGAACATGTATTTATGCACATGCCGCCCTCGGCTGCGAATGAATGAAGGCCTATCGCGGCAAGAAACTGTGCCAACAGAGATAATCAGCCGAGTTGTGAGGGAAGTCTTGTCTCATTGTGCTTGAGGAATATATGACGAGGTACAATTGCAGAACGCTTCGATTTTACCAATCATTCTTGCTTGGACTTCTGAAGAGTATATATTCCAACATAGCCAGGCCTGTTCTCCAGTTCAGCCACCAGCAATTGTTGAAGGAAAGACGTCTCATCCTTCACAGTCAACAATTAAGACTAACGACGGCAATTAAAAATCTCTGGGTTTCTGTCATAGGTCTCACATCTGAGGAATTACGCGGTGTAGTCATGATATTTTCTATCTTCCCTTGTGTATTATGGTCAGATAAACTGGAAATGAAGAGATGCTAAAGTGGGCTGAGCAAGAGGGGTACGATGAAAACCTCCCATTGCTCATTGAAAGATCCGCAGGTTTATACTTTATACCGTCCCAAAATTACTCTTTTGAACAAAAGCATCAGTCTTAAAGCCTAATTTGGAACAGTACGCATGGCATGACATCGTAATTTATATGTCTCGCATCTAATTCTCATAGGGATCGCCTCCAATGGGAGACAATTTGCGAAATAAAACAAGACCTTGAGTCGCAAAAAGACTTTTGTTTAGAGCGAACGACTACTGTCCGCGAAAACTGGGAGAAGATGAGATCGAATATGACCAAGTTGCTCATTTCATAGCTAGCGTTTCATTGTGACATGCTTCTTCGCGTTTGTCGGTGGAGTGCCGGCGTCGCATGAATCTGACTATTGTGCTCTGACGTGTATTTTTTGCGTTTGATGCGTAATAAACTGCGAGAAATCAATAACCCCAGAGCAGAAAAGGGGCTGCCAATTACGACAACCCACTACCAATATTTCGGAAAGTCTGACTGATAGTCTACAGAAGGAACAGCCATACAGTGGATCTTCAGGTTTAAGTCAATCTAAGAAGACCCTGGGGTGACACGCAAATCATTTCTGGGGAACAGCAGAAGACCACAGCTCATGACTGATCAATATATACTTCGCCGTTGCTAAACCATTCGATGGTTGTTTAGCCTCTAGATGTTACGACGGGGGTTGGCTGTGGACGCTGCAGCAGAATCGTGACGCACCTTACCTGATAGACTGTCCTATGGACATTTGGATTCGTGGCAATGTGGAAGTATTGCATATTAATTATCTACGTCTCATCCGCCCATAGTCATGGCGATATTCACAATAGTTCAGTATGTAACTCCCTGTTTCTTTACCTTCCTAGAAGATGATCACAGATACACTGAGAATACGTTGCTGAACGCCTGAGTAATACTCCTTGTGATGATGTAAGCTCTCTATCAGATGGGACGCTTCTTCCTGCTCCACTGCTTATTCCAGCCAAATGAACACGTGCCGAGCAAGGACGACAGGACGGCGAGATACATGCCGATTCGTCTCCATTAATCAAATGGGCAGTGTCGCCCCCTTCTTGAGAATCAATGCGCCACACATAATGCCTTCTGCATGAAGCGAATAGCGGTTGAACGCAGGGGGCGCATTGTTTCCTGCTGAAATCATCAACTAGTTGGACGAAGACTCCAATATATACCTTTCCGAAAGACGCTAGCTAACGCAGGGCCGACAATCTTGGATGGTCCAGGACAAACTGCTTGCTGCTTGCAGTGACTCACAAGTAGAAGGGGAAACGCAGTGTCCAACTTCATGTCTCGACAAAAAGGATCCTGTACTATTTAACCAAAGTTCCAATGTGCCCTGGTATCAATCGTTGTCATCGTCGGGTCCCCAGCGTCGCTAGCCTACTCCATCCTGGGAAGGAAGCTCGAGCCGGCCGCGCCCGTGCTGGGAAGGAAAGCCGAGACGAGACAACACGACCACACGCGTCAAACGGCACCAAAATGATCACCTCTTCGCGGAGCCTCATGTCTGGGCACACCCACGCATCCCAGCAATCTGGGACAGACGCAAGATCTTTTCGGACTGGTGCAGGATGTGACTCCATAGTCATTATTCGGTCGGGATGTTCCTGCCGTGTGCAGAAGCGCGTTAAAGGGCGTACTTTGACTCACCGATAAGACTATGTTTGAATTGAAGAGGTTAAGTTGGAAACTATAAGAGATACCATTCAAGTTTCTCAGAATCTGGATATGCAGTCTTGGGGTGCATTCTTGCACATCTTCTCTCCGGATCTTTTGTCTTTCCTGATCTCCTGACTCGTTGGCAAACTGTAAATAACATCACAATTACCACAACCCTTCCGCGAGCGACCCACCAAAATGTCCAAAGGCAAAGTTTGTCTCGCGTAAGTCTAATTCCAGAATTCAGGCCGGTACACACATGGAAGCATGCTAAACAACATCGTAAATAGCTACTCTGGCGGCGTAAGTCCTCTCTCCCGACACGATATCGTGACATATATGACAGCAGAACCCGGCCCAATGGCACATGCATGGTGAAAACACTTTAAAGCTGATGTCAATCGCTAGCTCGATACCTCAGTCATCCTCGCTTGGCTAGTGGAACAGAATTACGAAGTCATGTTCGTTATCCTACGTACCATCAATCGGCGTGGCTCCCACTGACGCCTCAAAAGCTGCTACATTGCCGACGTCGGACAGGAGGAATCTGATTGGGCTTCGGTTGAGAAGAAAGGTAACGTGTTTTTCCAATATCGAGAAATAACTTGTGTTAACCATAGAAACGTAGCTTTGCAGATCGGTGCGACAAAAGTGCGACAACTCACGCGGTGCTCGGCCGTAGGCCGATGGAGATAACAATGTTACTGATGATCGCGTCGTTGCAGTTGATCGTCGATGACTTGAAGCGGGAATTTGTAGAGTAAGGCAGGTCCCCACGTCAACTTTGCTCAAGCTAAAGTCTTTCAGAGAGTTGTGCTGGAAAGCTGTGCAGTGCGTCAGACATCTTTGGGACCCCTTCTTAGCCTTGACTGACGACACCGTCTAGAATGCCGTGCATGAGAGTCTCTACTTGCTAGGTGAGCTGGATTTATATTACACTTGAAAAGGAAGAAGTAAAAACACCCTGACTAACAAAATACAGGAACTAGCTTGGCTCGGCCAGTTATTGCTCGAGGCCAGATGAGGGCTGCTGCCCGAGAAGGGTGTCAATTCGTATCCCATGGCTGTGTATGACTGATCACATCACTGCTTGCAAGCGAGGCTAATCGCTGGCAGACCGGAAAGGGCAATGATCAGGTAAGGTTTGAGCTGACATTCGCCACGATCAATCCCGAGATACGATGCATTACTCCTTGGCGCCTGCCCAAGTTCTACAAGCGATTTGAGGTATGCCCCCGCGTTTCATGAGGTGTTAGTCACAAGCTGATAGGCCATTTCACAGGGTCGAATCGATCTTCTTGACGATGCCGCTGAGAAAGGTACTGCTACAGGACCTCAGGAATAACCCTCTTTCAAGCTAACAAAACCTCAGGAATTCCCGTCTCATCGACCAAGGCGAAGCCATTCTCCATGGATGACAACTTTGCCCATTGCTCCTACGAGGTAAGCCGCCTAAATAGCACCATAAGAAAAGCATAGCTGACGAGCATAGGCAGGCGTCCTCGAAGACCCAGACGTGACGCCTCCAGAGGACATGTGGACCAAAACAGTCTCCCCTCTGAATGCCCCCGATGCGCCCCTTGATATCACGATTCACTTCGAGAAAGGGACGCCGGTGAAAGTGGTCACTCCGCAGCAGACTGCTACCAATTCTGTTGAGCTCTTTGGACTGCTCAATCGAATCGGCGGGAAACATGGAGTTGGCCGTATTGTGGGTTTTTGATTAACTTCAGAGGTTCTTCAGAATTGGGTTGACAAGCGCGGCAGGACATCGTTGAGAACCGATTTATCGGGCTCAAGTCTCGTGGATGCTATGGTATGACCGCTGTATTCATGTATACATGAAGAGCATGTTCTGACACAAACCAGACTCCCCAGCCATGACCATCCTCCGTCTCGCGCACATCTCCATCGAGGGGCTGTAAGAAGCATCAACACTTGTATCTGTGTGTATCTGCTTACTGCTCCAAGTGCCCTCGACGGCCGAGTCATCTCTTTGCGAAACGCGATGAGCCAGCAGTGGTCTGAGCTCATCTATCAGGGTGCTTACTTTAGCCCCGAGAGGGCATTTTTGCAACGTGAGTTTTCCAAGCACTGGGAATTCCGAAAGACAGGTGATCGTGAGCTCACACGCATGACAGCGAGCCTCGACTACTCTTAGCAGAGGGTCAACGGCCAAGTCCGACTTCGCCTATACAAAGGCAGCGTCTATGTACTCGGCCGCTCATCGGATGAGAAGCTGTACTCCGAGGAGGATGCTTCGATGGATTCTCTTACTACGTTCGATCCTCTGGATACGACTGGGTTTATTACTGTACAAGCTATTCGCTTAAAGAAGGTGTGTGTCATTTTATAGAATGGAGAGATCCGACAAGCTTAATTAATTTGTAGTACGGTAAGCAGATGGCGGAGGCCGGTGTCAAGTTCTAATCTTGGTTTGTCTTATGGAATGGTGAGGAGGTCGGCGGTTCTGTGCACTTGACTGTGTGTAGCTATGAAACCTTGGGCCCAGAAAAGTCTATTGCGAGTGCGCAGTCTAGTGTTCTATGAAATAAGGAAAATTCCAAGGAAATTGAAAAGGTCTAAAAGCATCATGTACGTCAACCCGTCTGGCGTTATCGCTACTTGCGGGACGTGGCATACGTTGCAGCCGCACCCGATCCCTGGTGTCCACCTGCATGGGCCGAGGCCGATCCCGCTGCGGGTACTTCCGCAATGTTGTTGAACGGCTCTTGCCAAGACGGCTCGGTAAGCCAGCGCCCGACAGGGTAGCTGGCGCTTGAGCTTTGAGCCGAGCGTTGACCACGGTCCAGCGAGGGGTCTTGCCAGGAGCGGTTGACCGGGACGGTGCTGGAGCTTTTAGAACTCTGGCTGCTGGAGCCTTTTTTGACATGAGTATGGGGATCACTGAGACCTACGGAGTTGGGATGCTTACTCTTTGACTTGGATGAGGAAGATTGCTTGGCCGAAGACTTCGCCATTGTGATGATTGAATAGAATGCGTTGAGGTTGGAAAGTTAAGTCTTGTTGGTGGTCAATAGGGCAACTCCAGAATACCAAAGTGGTTAGAGTGCTTCTTGTTGTGATTCTGATGGCAGGGGAAAGGCTATCTGGTAGTTTGCGGTGATGTAGCTCAGTGTGTGACCGTTTGATTGTGAGACTGCATGTGCTGATGATGAAAGTTCTTTCATGCAGACTTGGTCGAGAATCGGGCTGATCTTTATACGCATGTGATCTCCTCTTGTTCAGAGAGGTTTGGAAGGGCTTGAGAAATCTCGTCCAACTGTGTCACAGTTTTACTGAGATGGTTTTCTCTCCTGCCCAAGTTCTAGGGCTGTTCTCTCCAGCGCCAACAGTTCCACATGTGCCTTTGAGTTACAATGATCCAGGCACCACGCGTGTTGCGAGTTTCGCATGGCGCTTGTGCCTCCGACCAAAATGCACCAGCATTGCCGACAATTCCAAGGACGGCTTCTGTCGTACTGCGCTAGTAGTTTCTAGCGGCCTAGAGATCAGATCATGGCCCAAATATCACAAGCTGAAGCTGTTGTTGGCGGAGACGACAGACTGACGATGCAGACGCCAACAGGTATTCAGCTGAGCTAGAAAGTTGCGAGAGATTAACCCGACATCGGCACGCTGGCATCTTCCATGACATATTCCTCCCCGAGGGTGGCTTTTTGTCCTACTACCGGTACATCAAAATCATCAGACTTTACCTGCAGAACAACCCTCTTCCGATGACGGGACAATGCAGAGCACGTATTTCTGCGGTTCAACAAACTTGCCGAAGCCGCCTCCGCCCGCCCGAGACACGCCCTCTGCACGTCCCGGTGACGAAAGGATTGTACACTCTGGCCTTCGGGCAGACTTGCATCTTCAACCCTCCCACGAGGAAAGACATGTGACACAGGCACCACCAAAACGTCGCTAGACTCGCATCCGCGCTTCCGCGGAAGATTTTGCCACGGCCGCTGCCGGGGCCGACCTAATCTCGCAACGGAAAGCTGCATTTGATTGCATTACTCGGGACCAGTGGAATGGGTGATTGCATCGATACTGGTCCACAGAGGCCACCAAGCGCCCTCGGCATGACAACTGTTTACGATTCTCCTGAGCTCTGTACACAAGCTCTCATGTTGTTCGTTTCGTCATCGAGTGTTATACTACACCATGACGGAAGCGAAGCTCTGAAGGATGATTGTCCAAGTATCAAAATGAAATACGAATCCTCTATCTCGAACTGACACCTCAAAGGCTGAGATACCCCTGAATATCAAACCCACGTGTTTGTAAATCATTCATTGACCGATGAGGTGACACATCGACGACTGGGTGTGTCACAGCATCTACCCGTCAATCAATACAATACTCGAATGGCATCAACCTTCAGCTTCTGCAACATGGCAGAAACAAGTAATGGTCCATCAGCTCCTGCCAATGCAGATGATCGGCAAGTCATGCCTAGGAGGATCGATGTTTCCGTGGTACCCCTCTGTAGCACGCGAGCCCCTCGAGCATTAACCAGGAACGGACACGCGACTTCATAGTTGAGTGTTCTTCCAATCGGAGTTGCCGGGAAAGGAATGGAGAAATTCAAAGACATGGTGAGGCTAATGATGAAATAAAAGCAGATCAATCTGGCCAAGAATTGCCCCTCTCCGTTACCCCTTTTCCGCATTCACCAAGCCAGCCCTAATCCAACTGAGACATTGCATGTAGTACACCACGTGAGGGTATCACGAAGTATGAGACATACATGAAGATCACCTGTCAGGCCATCCATCATCAGCCACAGTTGCGCAAGATTCCAGCCCCTCTATTAGAAGATGCCATTGTAGAGCATCAGCCTCTTCCCTAGAAATGAGGTCGGCGAGAATAGAAGCCCTCTAGATGTGGGTCCCACGTGTTGTGTGACGCTCAGCACATGGCCGAAAGACAAGAGGCGCTCGTAATAACTCCACATACGACCGTCACGAGGGCTTGGAAGCGAGTTGCGATGCTTCTACGTTATTGTCATCCTCGAAAGAAGCTTTAACCGAGATGTGACGGGTTCAAGGGGCTGAGATACGGTCTTAGGTTGATCAAGAAGCTCAGCTGAACTATGTGAGTCTCGCGAAAATCAAGCTTCGCTCGGCTTAAGCGAATTTACTTCCCGTCTGCATGGATCATGGATTTGACCTTGGCAAGGAATTCCTCTAGGCCGGCTAACATTGCCGTGGGGTCCTCCAGGGCTGGGAAGTGTCCGCCCTAAGAACTGCGTCAGCCCTTGTTGTTCGTAAGTCGGCAGAGATCAGAACATGCGGCGGTACCTTCTCGTAGTCCTTGTAAAAGATCAAGTTAGGGAACGTCTTCTCGACCCAAGCTCTTGGCGCAGGTACGAGCTCGCGGGCAAAGTTCGACACGCCAAAGGGCTTGCCTTCTGGGAAAGGGATGGTGGTGGGGAACCGGTTGGAATAGATGCAGCGTGGGTATGTGTCGGTAAGCCAGTAAAGTGTTACGCTGGCGAGAATTGTTTCTAGTTGCATCGGAATCTCTGTCCAGTCCCGGAACTTCTCGCCGATCGTGTTTTGCAATTCAAGTCTCGTCTAAACAATGAAGAAGAAGAAGGATAAGGAGAAAGACAAAGATATCAAGGAGTATGAAGGCCAACTTCATACCTAGGGGCTGAAGGGATAGATGAGGATTGTTGTTGTTGTTGTTGTTGTTCTATTTATCGACGTTAGAGCTAAGCTTAGATTGCTCCCTAGGGTATACGTTATATAGAGTAAGCTTATATATCTATAAATCTACTATATACTATTCCTACTCCTTAAATTAAGCGTCTTCTAGTTAATTACCTCCTATATATAGTGTTTCTAAGCTTAGAGGTTACTTTTTACTACTAAAAAATAGTATAAGTATCTTTTATTTCTAGTTTATATTATTTAGCTAAAGCTAGTATTATAGAGGTTTAAGCTTTATTATATTAAAGTTAGTGTTATTATAAAATTTAAATAGGGGGCTTTTAGTTAGTAGCTAAAGTTAGGGCTTAAACTACTTATAAACTTCTAAAGAAGTAAAATTACTTATAGCTTACTATATTTTATTAGGAAAACTAGGATTTTCTTAGAAAAGTTAGTAAGTTAATTTTTATATTTTCTTATAGTAATTTAAATTATTTAGGCTAAAAAATTAAAATAAAATAAAGTATAATAGAGTTTAAGAGGGTTATTAGCTATAAGGTTTATATAAATAGATTATTTAGTAGTTTTAACTACTAAAGAAATTTATAATTTCTTTAAACTTCTTAAACTACTCTAAATTATTAATTATAGATCTTTAGTAATATTTAAGGTTCTTAAATAGGGATAATCTTAGCTTACTATTAATTAGTAGCTAAAACTATTAAAATTTCTTTAAATAGGTTAAATAATAAAATACTATATATATAAGGGATTTTTGCTTTTTATATTTATATCTTTAAGTGCTTTATTACCTCTAAGTGAAATACTTATAGTATATCTTAAAATTACTATATTTTAAATAGGTAGTAATTAAGTAGTATAAGAGTTTTTATAAGAACTTTAGCTTTAGAGGGTATTAAAACGCTAGCTAAAGGTTATTATAAGCATAATATTAGGGTTTTTTTGCTTATATATTACTATTTTTAATAGTATTTAGTGATTTTCTTCTGCGCTAGATACTTTATAGTAATTATAATAGCTAATAAGATAAAGTTAAGAAGAGCTATTAAAACTCCTTATTTTATAAATATATCTGCTAACTTATTTCTAGGAATATCTTTATAACTAGGAACTTAGTATATAAAGATAGGAGAGGTTACTAAAATAATATACTTTTTAGCTTAAAGAATAGTTACTTATAAGGATAAAAATATATTACTATATCCCTCTAAGGCGTTAATAATATTAAGGTTATTAATATAAATATAAACTATACTTATTAGACTTTATAAGTATATAGTTATATAAAGTTTAAGGTTTATAGCTTTAGCTTTAGTATTAAAGACTTTAGTAAAGCTAAAGTATTAAAAGCTTTATATAAGGAGTATTTTAGCTTTCTTCTTTTTTTCTTTTTCACTTAAAAATATAATATAGCTATAGTTAACTTCTTTAGACTTAAGTTTAAATCTATTAGTATAAGTAATAATATTATTTTTAAGTATATCTTTAAGCTAAGCTTTAAATTTAGTAGTAGCTATCTTTTTTAGAGGGTAAGTATTATAAGCTACACTTATTATTAACGTCTAGGTAGTGCTATAAACCTAAGAGAATTCTGCCTTTAGTAACTGCGTTTGCTTAACTACTACTCTATACCTATTTTTCCTCTATATAAAGGGTTTCCTAGAACTCTCCCCTCTTTAGCTTAGATTCCTATAATTAAGGTACCCCTAAGTTAAATAAACTAAAAGCTAGCCCCTTATATAT